GGAGGCTGAGATCTGAGGATCACGGTTCAAAGCCAGCCCGGGCAGGAAAGTCTGTGAGACTCTTATCTCCAATAAACCACCAGAAAACTGGAAGTACTGCTGTAGCTCAAGTGGTAGAGTGCTCGCCTTGAGCTGAAAAGCTGAGGGACAGCGCCCAGGACCAGAGTTCAAGCCCCACAACCGACAAAAAAAAGAAAAAGAAGAAGAAAGAAAGGATGTTAGGGTAGAGGTGTTGGATTTAAACCCAGGCTGGACAGTGTGCTGAGTTTGCACACCTCCCTCCTCAACCCTTCCAGGGCGGAGCAGGGCATGAGGAGGAGCATTTGGGACGGGGCTTTTGGGAAAGGTGGGCTTTGGGTGGCAGTCTTGCTTACTATTGGAGTAGGCAGGCAGGAGCCTCTTTTGCCAGCAGGTGGGGGGCTTTAGGGTTTGGGGTTGGTTGGAGGTGGGTGGGGCCACGTGGCTGACCCCTGCACCTGCACCTGTTCCACCCACTAGGGAGTCCTCTTTTTCTGAGGTACTAGGGCTTGAACCCCGGGCCTCAAACTTAATTAGGAAAGTACCCTCCTAGGAGCCATGTTCCTAATCCTTTTGTTTGTTGTTATTGTTGTTCTTTGCCAGTTGTGGGGGCTGAACTCTGGGCCTGGGTGCTGTCCTTCAGCTCAAGTGCTCTACCACTTGAGCCACAACACCACTTCCGGCTTTTTTCTGCTTAGGTGGTGCTGAGGAATCGAACCCAGGGCCTCATGCATGCAAGGTGAGCACTCTACCACTGAGCCACCTTCCCAGCCCAATCCTTTTGTTTTTGAGATAGGATCTCTTGCTGTCTTTGCCCAGGCTTGGCTAGGAGTATAGGTGTGTGCTACTACACTATAGGGACTGAGATTCATTCATATTTTTGTTTGTGCACTGGTAGGTACTAGGGCTTAAACTCAGAACCTTGCACTTGGCTCTTTCACTCAGAGCTGGTGCTCTACCACTTGAGCCACACCTCCACACCTCCACTTCTGACGTTTTTGCTGGTTATTTGGAGCTAAGAGTCTTACAGACCTTTATGCCTGGGTTGTCTTTGAACGTGGATCCTCAGATCTCAGCTTCCTGAGTAGCTGGGATTACAGGCATGAGCTACTGGGGCCTTACATGAGACGAGTTCTTCACCTCCATGGAGCAGGGAATCCTGGCCCAGCCCTGTACCTGCCATATGACCTTGGATAAGTCTGTTCCCTTCCAGCCTCAGCCCTCACTGAAAGCTGGGCCAGGCCTCCGACTGGCCTTGCTGGCCTGTTAGAGCATCAGATGAGATCATGTCATGGTTGGCCAGCTACAGAGCACACACTGCAGGAGCAAGGGTTTCCGCGTGCCGTGCCCGGGTGCCTGGGTGCCAGGGCTGTGGATGATTCAGATGCCCCCCCCGGGGGGGGGGGTTGGGGGGGCAGAGGGTAGTACGGAAGAGAACGTGGTCGGAAAACAAAGCAAGCTCTGTTCTCCTGCTTTCTTTGTTTTTTATCTTGTTATTTAACCTGTTTTGAATTTCAAATAACATGAGAGGGGCCATGTATTGAGATTTTTATACTCGGAGGTTTGGGGGAGGGAAAAGTTGGAGATTCCAGGTGTTCCTGTTTATGAGCTCTTATCAGCAAAGGTCACACCTTGGGGAAGGTCACACCTTGGGGACACTGAGTCCTTGGTCTGTGCTCCCACTTGGACTGCTTTTGCACTGGCCTTGATTGGGTGTTGGGGAAGGCAGCGGGGAAGAGGGGAGCCCTGCCCTGCCCCGCCCCACTTGGGCTTGCCCCCACCCCCCGCAGCTTCTGTGAGTCAGAGGACCTGAGTTCAAGTCTCAACTAGCTCTCAGAGCAGCCTTCAGTTGGCTTGGCTCTTTCTGGGCCCCCAGAGAACCGGAAGTGGGACTGGAGGCTCCTGGGAGCTGCCCTGCCTCCCTCGGAAGCCCGCACACATGGAGGGATGCTTAGAGCCAGGTGGGGCCAGGAAGTGGGGGGTCAGGAAGGAAGAGAGTGTACAAGGGACGGCTGAGCTTTTTCCAAGATGCGTTCCCCAGCAACAGCTCCTACATCAACTTGACAGGCCGATAAAGCCTTTTCCCGCAGGCCTTCTCAGAGCCTTGAATCTGCTCTGGCTTGCTGGAAGCAGCTGGAAAAAGCCACTTTGGACCACATGATTTTCTTTCCCTTCCAGCAAGCATCCTAAAGGCCAGAGTCTCCGGGTTGGCTGTATTATTAGCTCACCAGACCTAGCCTTGGCGGTGTCTCCTCCCTCATGGCTGGGGGGAAGAGATTTTTCATCCCCAGAGGAGGAAGGGACCTTGCTCCTTGGGGCCTGCAGGAGGCACAGTCACGGGGCTCCGTGGCTCTATCTAGGCTAGAGGCCCTGCTTCCTTCTTGTTCCTGAGTAGCTTCAGGCAAGTTATAGCCCTTTGGTGCTGGGGAGGAGGTGGCAAGCCTATAATCCTACCTGCTCTGGAGGCTGAGATCTGAGATCCCAGTTCAAAGCCAGCCTGGGTAGGAAAGTCCATCAGACTCTTTATCTCCAGCTAACCACCCAAAAGCCAGAAGTGGATCTGTGGCTCAAATGATAGAACCCTAGCCTTGAGCAGCTAAGGGACAGCACCTAAGCCCTGACTTCAAATTCCAGTACCAGCATGTGCACAGGTGCATGTACACGTGTGCGTGCATGTGCGTGTGCACACACCCATACACACACAATGTGCATGAGATGAGTCCCTCTGTCAGTAAACTTAAAGGCAAACAAATGCTTTCTTTTTCTTTTTTCTTCCATGCTAGTACTGGGGCTTGAACTCAAGGCTTGGGCACTGTCCCTGACCTTTTCTCCTCAAGGCTGGTGCTCTACCCCTTGAGCCACAGCTCCACTTCCAGCTTTCTGGTGGGTTAATTGGCCTCTTCTCCCTGCAGCTGGCTTTAAACTGTAATCCTCAGCTGGGATTACTGGTGTAAGCCACCAGCACCAGGCAGGCCATAAATTCTTGTTTCAATTGCCATTCGATTGTCTATTCTGGAACTTTCTAAACATCCACGTCAGGCCCTCCCTGGTGCCCAAGCTGTGGGGAGCCCTTGATTGTTCTCTTGGGCTGTGATTGTTTGGGCCCAGGATTTCCTGCTGTGCCCAGGCCTGCCGCAGCCTCACGTAGCTCTCCTTCCTCCTTCCAGGTCTCCATCCCGGCCTGACGGTTGCTGCCAGCTTTGAGGCCCATCTCTTGCCTTCTCTGCTTCTAGACGAGAAAGACTTACTTCATTTGAACACCAGGGCGGGGAGCAGGGCCTGGGGAAGACCCCCCGCCCCGCGCCCGTGGATTCCAGCACAGCACCTTCATCTAGAGGAAGAAACCCAGAGGGCACCCAGTGCAGCCTGTCTCTCCCCCCAGCCCCCCCCAGGGTGGGGGAGGGCACGGACCAGCAGTCCTGAGCAGTCAGCGCCCATGCCCGGCCCCCAGGGGGGCACAGGAGCCCCCACCATGAGCCTGGGCAAACTGTCCCCCATGGGCTGGGTGTCCAGTGCGCAGGGCAAGAGGCGGCTGACGGCGGACATGATCAGCCCCCCCCTGGGGGACTTCCGCCACACCATGCACGTGGGCCGGGGTGGGGACGTGTTCGGGGACACCTCCTTCCTCAGCAACCACGGTGGCAGCGCCGGAGCCACCCACCGCTCGTCCCGCAGCTTCCTGGTCAGGAAGCTGCAACAGGTGCGCCGGGCAGGGGTGCCAGCCTGGAGGACGGCCTCGCCCCCCGCACCCTCGCCGGCCCCCCCTGCCATCTCCCCCATCATCAAGAACGCCATCTCCCTGCCCCAGCTCAACCAGGCCACCTACGACAGCCTGGTGGTCGGCAAGCTCAGCTTCGACGGCAGCCCTGCCGGCTCCACCGATGGCCACTCGGGTTACGGTGAGACCTGGGATCGCTGTCCCACATGGGGCCCAGAGGTCCAAGTTCTCTGAGGTAGCACGAGTCCCTTAGTGTATCGCTGAGATTCAATGGCCGTTCCCATAACTTGACAAATGTGGGAAACCTCCCCTGTGAGCACACGTGCGTGCGACCCCACCAGGTACCGGGCCACCTGCCTGGGAGCCGTGGGCTCCTGCTGCCCCCTGGTGGCCTTGTCTTGCATTGTGCTCTGTTCCTGCTTCTTGTCCCCTAGACTGTTTTATGGCATCTTAGGCTGGGAGGCCCGGAGGGGAGGCTGGATCAGATGACCTTGGTGGCACATGTCTGTCCTTCCAAGCCTCTGTGACACCCACAAGCCAGTCCACTTGGGTTGGGTTCAGTGCAGCCCGGGTCAGCACATAGCCAGTGGCTGCAGTGGGACTGAGGTGTGAGCTCCAGGTACGGTACCCCCCCATCCCAGACCGGCCCCTTGAGCATGGCCTGCCTCACCCCAAAGTGAGCCTCACTTCCCTCATCTGCAGGACCATGGCAGCCGTCAGTCCCTGGATCCCGCAGGAGACCCTTCAGCTTCCTATGTTGGGAAAATGGGAGAAACTGAGGCCACAGTTAAAGTTGGTCTTGTGTTTCCCACCCAAGTCCTGGTTAGAGACCCACGTTCTTTTTTTTTTTGGTTTGTCATGGGGCTTGAACTCTGGGCCTGGGCGCTGTCCCCCAGCTCTTCAGCTCAAGGCTAGAGCCCTACCACTTGAGCCAGAGCACCACTTCCAAAGATAAGAGTCTCAAGGACTTTTGTGCCCGGGCTGGCTTTGAACCTTGATCCTCAGATCTCAGCCTCCTGAGTAGCTAGGATGACAGGCATGAGCCACTGGCGCCCGGCCGAGACCCAACTCTGACCTCCCCATTTCTCTTCTAGGCCTGGACTCTGGGTTCTGTACCATCTCCCGCCTGCCCCGCCTGGAAAAGCCTAGTGACAGGGACCATGACCCAGATGGAGACTGCTCCTTCCCTGTGGCGGAGCCCGAGCTCCGGCGATCGGACTCTCTCCTGTCCTTCCGCCTTGATCTTGACCTTGGGCCCTCACTCCTCAGCGAGCTGCTAGGGGTCATGAGCCTCTCAGAAGCTCCTACAGCCGAGACCCCAAACTCTGCCACAAGCCCCCCCGCTGCTGTCCCTGCCACAAACCCCCTGACCCTGGCTGCAAACCCCACACCCCGAGGACATTGCCCTAATGGGGTAACTGCAGGCTTGGGCCCCACGGCTGAGGGCAGAGCCAGCCAGGCGGGGGAAGGACCCCGAGCGCCCCCTGACACGGCCTTCAGCAGGCACTGGGGCACCGGCTGGAGGGCCAGCCGGGGGGGCCGCCGGTACACGGAGATGGACGCCCGCCAGGAGTTGGCCGGGGTGCTGCCCCAAGTTCGAGGCTCGTGGGAGAGCCTGGATGAGGAGTGGAGGGCGCCCCGGGCAGACAGCAGCGCCCCTGTACCCCGCACAGTGCAGGCCAGTGCCTTCCAGTTTGCCGATGAGGAGGAGGAAGATGAGGTCAAAGTGTGAGTGTGTGGGGGAGGGGCTCAGGGCCCAGCCTGGGTGGTGGTGGGGGGGTTATCTCATCAAGAGAAAGCCCAGGGGCTGAGCGTACCCCGCAATAGCTGGGGCCTATCAGATGAGCTAGGAGACCCCAAATTTCCCCAAATCCTCTGGCACAAGAGGGTGGACAGAGTCCCAGCTTGTCCTGGGAGCCAGTGTCCCAGCCCAGATGACCAGCCCCCCCCCGCCCAATACTAACGGCCCAGTAGCTCTTTCTTAGGCCCCACCCCAGGCGACCCCAACTGACCGGTCCAGACCCACAGAGTGGCCTTTGTGCCCCACGACGCTGCCCTGTGGGGCAAAGGGGAGGCCTGAACTACACAAGGCCATTGTCTCTGCTCCCAGTGGGACACCTGTCCCAGAGGGTCACCACTGCCTGCCCCCCCCGCCCTACTTGTGGGAGGGAGGGGGCAGAGAAAAGACAGCAGTGACCCTATTTTCTCTTTCCTCTGTACCCCAGATCTGCTTCTGGGGCCTGGGTTTTGTTTTGTTCTGTTGTAATTATTAAGGCTTTTTTCTTCTTCTTGTTTTGGATTAAAGATGCCAGGCAAGAAGCTAGAGCTCCGGCTTCTTCCCCCCCCCCCCACCTCCCCCTCCACCCTGCCCTGTCCAAGATGCCCTTTCCCTTCCTGGGAGTTTGGAGAGCCCAGGGCCCCCTCGGTAATGAGTAACCAGGCTGGAATTCCTGTGATAAGCAGGGTGCCCAGGTGCAGGCTTATCTGCAGTTCCTGGAACAGCCCCCGCCCCAGGTGCCTGGAGCCCACATCTCCCCACCGGACGCCAGAGGGAGGCAGGGGACCCCCCCACATACACACTTCTGGCTTGTTGGGAGCACTCCCCACTGGGCAGTGTTGTGCCCTTGTGCCTCAGTTTCCTCCCTGTGTCATGAAGATACCAGGAGCATTAAAAAACAACAAAGCCTGCAGAGCACTAACAGAACGCCGTGGAGAAGGTGCACAGTGAATTCTTTGGTTTCGTCTTGACTGGGGGGCAGGAGGAGAGGGTACCAGAAGGAATGATGGGCAGTGGTAATGGGGGAATCTACCCAGGACCCCTGGGCCGCTGGCCCTCGTGGGATTTGAGAAAGGCTGCAAATGGGGTCCCAAGTCCAGGGCTTTTATTCCAACCTGCTGCAGCTGCTCAGTCCAGCTTGAAAGAGGAGAGGTGGAGCTGGTCCAGGCCCAGGTAGCTCATGTGGTCGTGGCCCAGCCTGTTGGGGAAGGTCAGCTGGTACCCATCTGGTAAGGTCACCTTGAACTCATCCTTCTGGAAAGCCACAGTGATCTGCAGTGGAAGGAAGGGTGACAGGTCAGGAGGAAGCCGGGCACCAGTCGCTCATGCCAGAATCCCAGCTACTCTATTTAGGAGGCTGATATCCGAGGATCACAGCGCAAAGGTAGCCCTGGCAGGAAAGGCTCTGAGAGATTCATCCCCAATTAACCAGCAAAAAGCTGGCTTACGTGGCAGAGCGCCAATCTTGAGCAAAAAAAGCCAAATGAGAGCATGAGGCCCTGAGTTCAAGTCCCAGTCCCAACACACAAAAAAGTCAGGCTCCAGTGAGTGGCTCACGCCTGTAATCCAGCTACCCAAGAGGCTAAGATCTGAGCATCATGGTTCAAAGCCAGCCTGGGAAGGACTTCCTTCCAATTAATTTGCGAAGGAGCTGGGAAGGTGGCTCAGTGGTAGAGCGCTTGCCTTGCGTGCATGAGGCCCTGGGTTCGATTCCTCAGGACCACATAAGCAGAAAAGCCGGAAGTGGCGCTGTGGCTCAAGTGGTAGATTGCTATCCTTGAGCTGATAGAGCTGAGGGACCGCGCCCAGGCCCAGAGTTCAAGCCCCACAACCGGACCCCCCCCCAAAAAAAACAATTAATTTGCAAAAAGCCAGAAGTGGAGCTGTGACTCAAGTAGTAGAGCACTAGCCTTGAGCAAAAAAAGCCCAGCACTGATGGCTCACGCCTGTAATCCTAGCCACTCAGAAGGCTGAAATCTGAGGATCTCAGTTCAAAGCCAGTCCACAGGAAAGTCTGAGAGATTGTTATCTCCAGTAAACCACCAGAAAACCAGAAATGGTGCTGTGGCTCAAGTGGTAGAGTGCTCACCTTGAGCTGAAGAGCTGAGGGACAGTGCCCAGGCCCAGAGTTCAAGCCTCTTGACCAATTTTTAAAAAAGTAAAAAGCTCAGGGCCAGTGTCCAGGCCTGAATACAAGCTCTATGACCAACACCAAAAAAAAAAAAACCCTGAAAAGCAGGAGAAACCTTGTGATAAAAACAGCTCTGGCACAGATGGGGTGGGGGAGGCGGGGTCTCCCTTTGGTACTTTTCCTACCCTTTCCCCTTGAACTCACCTTGACTTCTGACCCGGGGCTGAAACACAAGTTACTGTCCCTTTGCTCTGGTCCCCAGCTACCGCCACTGAATGAGTTGCAGACAATGGTAGATTCGCTGAAGCGCGGGTTAAAATGCAGGTCCAGCTGGTTCTTGTCCTGTCCCAGGTTAATGGTGAAGCTGGGGGGGAGGGTCACGGTGAGGGGCACAGTTGACCCCAGGCTGAAAGAATGGCTGGAAAAATGTGTTCGGGAGGTCTTGAAATGGGGGGGTGACACCCTGTCAGCAGTGCGGACCCCTCTCCTTTGGCAGCAGAGAGGCTGGTGGGGATGGCACCCCACCCTCGGGGTCCCTGGGGATGGGACATTCTGGGTTGCACCTGCTGCCTGCCTGCCCCTCCCCTGCCCTTGGTGCGTAGAGATCAGGGATTGCCCGGCATGCTCAGCCTGGTGAGGGGCAGCCTGCAAACCAGGCCTTGGCTGCCCGCCGGTAGCCTGCGCTGGAGGAACTCAGCAGAGGCCCTCCCCCCCCCCCGGGGCTTCAGCTGCCCCGTCGGTGCCCACTGGACAAGGAACAGAGCATGGGGCAGCCCCCAAAGCCAGCCTCAGATGGGGTCAGGGAGGAACAAGGGAGTGGGCAGTGGGGTGGGAGGGGGCGAGGATGGACAGGCTGTGGCATCTGGTCATTTCGTGGTGCCGCCCTGCCCGCTCCTGGCACACCTCCTCCCTCACCCACCGCGCTGACCTGCTCGCATCGCTGGCGATGCGCCCCTTGAGCTTCAGGGTTGTCCCTGGCTTCATGTCCATATTTGTGAGCTCCAGTGTTCCCTGTGCCAACAGAGAAAACTCCACTGGGGAAACCACAGAAAACCCATCACCTGTGTGCCCAGGGACGTGCCAGGGTCACCGTCCCTGCCCACCAGAGGGCACCGCCCTGCAAGGGGAGAGTCGGAGCCTCCCGTCTGGGCCTCCCGCACCCCCCTCTGATCCTTCCACTCTGCTCTGCCCCAGCCCGGCCAGAAAACAGCCATTCTACACTTGGCATGTGTGTGCCAGTCACAGGGCTTGGACTCAAGGCCTGGGCACTATCCCTGAGATTCTTTTTTTCAAGGCTAGCACTCTACCACTTGAGCCACAGCTCCACTTCCAGTTTTCAGGTTAATTGGAAATAAGAGTCTCCTGGACTTTTCTGCCCAGGCTGGCTTCAAACCACAATCCTCAGATCTCCGCCTCCTGAGTAGCTAGATTACTAGGTGTGAACCACCACTGCCTGGCCAACCTACGAACGGTTTGTAAGCCAAGATGTGAATCTGTCCCAATCTGTGACACCTCACTTCATCTATAATGGGCAGATTTATCTTTATTGGTTTGTTGAGGTAATAATAAAATGCTTGTTGGGCTGGGGATGAGCCTCACTGGAAGAGCATCTGCCTGCCTGCATAGGGCCCTGGGTTCTGTCCCCCGCACTGCACAAAAACAAACCAGTGGCTCACACCTATAATCCCAGCTACGCAGGAGGCTGAGGTCTGAGGTGTGAAGCTAACCGAGGCAGCAAAGTCCATGAGACTTTTATTTCAAATTAACTACTAAAAAAAAAAGCCAAAGTGGCTCAGGTGGTAGAGCACTAGTCTTGAGCAGAAAAAGCTAAGAGACAGTGCTCAGGCTCTGAGTTCAAGCCCTAGAACTGCATGTGCACGTGCATGTGCATGTGTGTGTGTGCGCACACACACACACAAATTAGCTGGGCACCAGTGGCTCACACCTGTAATCTTAGCTACTCAGGAGGCTGAGATCTGAGGATCACAGTTCAAAGCCAGCCCGGCAGGAAAGTCCATGAGACTCATATCTCCAATAAACGACCAGAAAACCGGAAGTGGTGCTGTGGTTCAAGTGGTAGAGTGCTTGCCTTGAGTTGAAGAGCTCAGGGACAGCGCCTAAACCCAGAGTTCAAGCCCCACGACCGGCAACAACAGCAACAACAAATTAAATCAGGGTTCTAGCAGGTATTGTCTGGTGAAGACAAAGTTACACTGGTAGAGTGGTTCTAAATTAGATATGACTGATGTTCTTCAGGAGGAGCAACATCTGGACCTAAGGGCACAGGGCCACTGAAGGCAGGCAGGCCCCAGGCAGAGGGGCGGAAACAGCCATCATGCTGAGGGCTGGCAAGGGTCACCCGAGGCCACCAGAAGCTACAAGGTGACACCTCCTGTCCTCCGGGCTGCCTGTCCTGATACCAGACTTCCCCTCCACCGCCTCAGGAAACGAATCTCTCCTCTATGCCAGAGGAGACTTGTGGGTCTCCAGATCGAGGCTTATCTTGCTCATCTTTTTGGACAGAACCATGGCAGAGAAGACAGAAAGAAGACAGTGCACTTGCCAGGCACCAGTGGCTCACGCTGTAATCCTAGCTACTCAGGAGGCTGAGTTCTGAGGATCACAGTTCAAAGCCGGCCTGGATAGGAAAGTCCCTGAGACTTTTCTTTCCAATAAACCACTCAGAAAACTGGAATTGGCACTGTGGCCCAAGTGGTAGAGCGCTAGCCTCGAGCCGAAGAGCTGAGGGACAGCGCACAGGCCCAGAGTTCAAGCCCCATGACTGACAAAAGAAGATGTGCTGCCCCCAACCCCTCCCTGCCCTTGCAGGCTGTGAGCGTGGCAGTGTCATCTCTGAGGGGTGGGATGGGGTGTGCTGGGGTCCAGCGCAGAGCTCTGATGGTGCTGAGCTGCGCCCTGCCTCTGACCCTGCCCTTTCAGACGTCTCCACAGACGTCGGGCGCCAGTGGCTCACGCCTGTAATCCTAGCTACTCAGGAGGCTGAGATCTGAGGATTGAGTTCCAAAGCCAGCCCGGACAGGACAGTCTGTGAGAATCATCTTTAACCAGCAAAAAGTGGGAAGTAGAGCACCAGCCTTGAGCAAAAAAGCTAGGGGCTAGTAGCCAGGCCCTTGAGTTCAAGCCTCAGGACTGGTACACAGACACAAAAAGACTCCACAGAGTGAGCATTATATAACTATTATTACCAATTACTACTATTATTATTGCTACTACTGTTAGGATGAGGAACAAGCAGGCTGGAGAGAAGGTGAGGCAGGCAGAGGCTCCAAGGGAGAGCCAGAGGCTAGAGGCCGTGGAGATGACTATCCAACACCCTGGCCATGTGGGTGGGGAAACTGAGGTACAGAGGAGGAGTAATACTATATCCCAAGGCACCCCACCCCCACCCCAACCCCAGCGAAGACAGATGACGGAGGGCGGTGAGCGAGGGGTGGCTCTCACCGACATGGCGGCTGCTCCCCGCTGCTGCTCCTCCGACGCCACTGCTCAGGGCCCCCCTCTCATGTCCAGTTTATACCCCAGATATTACACATTAACTCCCCCAAGCCTATAAATGAAGACTTTGACCCTGACGTTCAAGTATCTCAGGGCCGCATCTCTAGGTGCCCAGAGCAACGCGGGGGCCTGCTCCTGCCCAGCCCAGGCATCCTCAGCCCCTCCCCCGCCCTCCTCAGTGTTCCCCAGCACCAACCCCAAACCACAAACACGGGGAGATCAGCCAACCTCACCGAGCCCAGCTTCCAAACCACAAACAGAGACACTGACTATAAAAACGTCCAGGCTTCTAATTTCCTCTGATGGCCTCATTCACGTGGAAACCTTCTCCCCCTCTTCCTCACCAATTATTTTTTTGTACTTGTCAGTTTTAAAAGGCAATCTATAGCCAGGCGCCAGTGGCTCACGCCTGTAATCCTAGCTACTCAAGAGGCTGAGATCTAGAGGGCTCAGAGTCAGCCAGGGCAGAAAAGTCTCCACATAACCAGCAAAAAGCTGGACTGGAGCTATGGTTCAAGTGGTAGAGCACCAACTGTGAACAAACAAGCGGAATGGGCATAAGGCCTTGGTTTCATGCTATACACACACACACACACACACACACACACACACTAGCTGGGCACCAGTGGCTCAGTCTGTAATCCTAGCTACTCAGGAGGCTGAGATCTGAGGATCATGGTTCAAAGCCAGCCCAGGCAGGAAAGTCTGTGAGATTCTTTATCGCCAATAAACCACCAGAAAACCAGAAGTGGAGCTGTGGCTCAAGTGGTAGAGTGCTCGCCATGAGCTAAAGAGCTCAGGGACAGTGCTTAGTCCCAGAGTTCAAGACCCACGACCAGAAACAAAAAAAAATACAGAAGGGCTAGGCACCAGTGGCTTATGTCTGTTATCCTAGCTAGCTACTCAGGAGGCCAAAATCTGAGGATCATGGTTCAAAGCCAGTTTGGGCAGGAAAGTCCCTGTGAGACTCATTTCCAATTAACCGCCAGAAAACCAGAAGTGAAGCTGTGGCTTAGAGTGGTAGAGTGTTCACCTTGAATGAAAAAATTAAGGGGAAGTGCTCAGGACCTGAGTTGTTCGGAACCCCAAGACTGGCACAAAAAAAGCGCAGCATACTAGCCTTATGCCAAAAGAAGCTCAGAGACGGTGCCTAGATGCTGAGTTCAAGCCCCAGGACCAGCACGCACACACACACACACACAGTACGTTATGTGTGTATAGATGGGCTGGGCCTCTATGGCTCACAGCTGTAATCCTAGCTATTTAGGAGACTGAGAGCTGAGTTTGAGGGCAGCCCCGGACGGGAAAGCCCATGAGATGCTGATCTCCAATTATCCACCAAAAAAGCCAAAAGTAGAGCTGTGACTCAGCGGCAGAGCACTAGCCTTGAGTGAAAAAGCTAAGGGAGGCTGGGAAGGGGGTTAGTGGTAGAGCGCTTGCCTCGCATGCATGAAGCCCTGGGTTCCATTCCACAGTATCACATACACAGAAAAAGCCGGAAGTGGCGCTGTGGCTCCAGTGGTAGAGCGCTAGCCTTAAGCACAGAAAGTAAGACCCTGAATTTAAGCCCCAGGAATGGCAACAACAAGAAAAAAGCTAAAGGACAGTGCCCAGGACTGGCACACACACACACAAAATAAAGTGAAGAGGGCTGGACGGGCGGGGACGGGGGCTGGCGCTTTGCTCTCTCTGGTCCTCTCCTGACAGCACTGGGTATTAAATAAGAAATGACCCTTCCTGTTTCTCCACCAGCACCAGCTCCCGCCTCTCCTGGCGTGTTTCTGGCCTGGAGGTTCCCCATGAATCCATATTGTGGACTTCTGTCTATGCAATTATTTACCCGGATTCACTTGGGAAAACGTGGAATCCCACAGCTCTCTGTTTCAGGATTGTTCTTCAATGGCACTGAAATCATCTGTCCGTGATGCAATTTATTGAGCCAATTTCCTCCCACTAAACACTTCCATTAGCTCTCAATTTCCGTCCGTGTGCATGTGTGTGCATGTGTCTGTGCATGCCAGAACTGACGCTTGAACTTCACACTTTCACTTGACTTTTTCACTTCCGGAAGCAGTGGAAGTCCCGCGCTCTGGGCCTGGCCAGCCACGACGAGAGCAGGCCGTGGCCATGCCGTTGGGATGCTGGAGGCTGGGTCTAGCCCCGGGCTCGCTGGTGCCGGAACTGTGGGTGGCCCGGTGCCCAGCACCCTCCTGGGTTGCTACCTTCAGGCCTCTGCCAGAACAAACAGAGCAATGACTGATTTCCTTATTTTACCCACAAGGAAATGATCCTTCCGCACCCTTCTCCCAGGGCCCCGGGCAGAACCCCAACAAGATAAAGAGCTTCAATGTGTGTGTGAGGCCCAAACCAAGGCTTCCAGAAGGGCACCTTCTCAAGCTGAGCTCTACATTCTAACAAGGACAGCGCCCAGGCCCTGAGCTTACCACCCCAGCACCCACACAAAGAAAGAAAAAATGTTTGAAGAGCAGCGAAGGGGGCCTAACTCATGGTTTATGTGCTTTCCCAGGGAAAGATCATTTTGTGTTTTTTCTTATCCGTTGTGGGGCCTGAGCCTGGGCGCTGTCCCTTAGCTCTTCAGCTCAAAGCTAGCGCTCTACCACTTGAGCCACAGCACCGTGCTTTTTCTGCTTAGGTGGTGCTGAGGAACTGAACCCGGAGCCTCGTGCATGCAAGGCAAGCACTCTACTACTGAGCCACCTTCCCAGCCCAGGAAAGATCAGTTTTAACAACAATAAATAAATAAATAAAAATCCATAAGGCTCTGGTGCCTTATGTCCATAATCTTAGCTACTGAAGAGGCTAAGATCTGAGAATCAAGCACAGGGCCCTAAGTTTGAGCCCCAGAATGCTCTGTCTGTTTCTCTCTTTCTCTCTTTTACACACACAATGAAACTGCCCAGTACAGTAGCTCATTCCCATCATCCCACCTACTCAAAAGGCTGATATCAGGAAGATCGTAGTCCAAAGCCAGCCCAGGCAAAAGTTTCACAAGATTTCTTCTCAACCAATAGCTGGGCATGGTTCACACTGTCATCCTAGCTGAGATCTGGGGATCACATATCCAGGCCAGATAGGGCAAAGAGAAAAAATTTTCTAAAGAATCTATGTCAGTGGAAGAAGCCGGGCATGGTGGTACACGCCTTCCATCTCAGCTACCATGGGAAATATAAACTAGGAGGACTGTGGTCTAGGCACATGCCCAGGTGGGAAGCAATGCCTTATAAATTTTTTTTTTCTCAAGGGGAAGAGATCTTAAAAGATCAAGGTTCCAGACCAGCCCAAGCAGACAGAAATTCTTATCTCCAACAAACCACCAAAAAGCCAGAAGTGAGCTATGGCTCAAGTAGTAGAGCGCCAGCTTTGAGCAAAAAAAAAAACTCAGGGACAGTGCCTAGGTCTTGAGTTCAAGCCCAGAACCAGCATGCACACACCAAAAACAAAAAACAAAACATTTTCTCAACCTTAAGTCCACTTTTTCTCTGACTTCAGAAGAATCTAAACCGTGCCCGTGTCATAGGCCTGGCATAGCAATCTTGCTGATCCAAACTGAGCCGCCGTGGGTCACTGGCCTTCTGCTGTTGGGGGACTTTGCTCCTTTCACGTCTGAGATCCTGGCCTGTCTCCTCTCCTCCCCCAAAGCAAACAGATCCACACCTCAGGGACACCTGCGTTTCCTCTTGATCCACCAACAACTGCCATTAGCACAACACAGGGAGTCGGGGCAAGGGTTCTACTTGGTGAGAGATAACTGGTTTTGTTGGTTTTTGCCAGTACTGGGCAGCGAATCTCTACGTTTTGTCTGTGGCATGTGTGCACCATGCTCTGCCTGCTTTCTTTCCCCTTTCAGATCTCAACTATTTTGGGGAGGTCGGGTGGGTTCTGACATAGAAACGCGAACCCAGCACCTGATGCTTTGGCTCACTGGCTAGTGTTCCACTGACTGCCACCTCCAACCCACAGGTCCCGACTTTCGAAGTCATGTTCCCCACCCCTGCCACAGACCACAGCCACTACTTTTGCAGGTAGTTTGCCTGTGGGTGCTTTACAGGTTTAGAGAAAGTATCTGCTGCCCCCTTCTGGTCATTACAAGAATAATCTTGATTAAAGGTGGGGAAAAAGTATCAATTTGCTAAGCACAGACCTCAAAAAGAATTCAATTGAGCTGGGTACCAGTGGCCCATACCTGTAATCCCAGTTACTCAGCAGGCTGAGATCTGAGGACTGCAATTTGAAGCCAGCCTAGGTAGGAAAGTCTGTAAGACTCTTACCTCTAATTAACCAGCAAAAAGCCGGAAGTAGAACTGTGGCTCAAGTGGTAGAGAACTAGCCTTGAATCTGAAAAGCTTAAGGAGAGCACCATCTCTGGATTCAAGCCCCAGGGCCAGCACACACATACAAACACAAAAGTCAAATTAATACATTTAAGTGACTTAAAAGCACCCTGTACTAGCCAGGTACTGGTGGCTCACACCTGTAATCCTAGCTACTCTAGAGGCTGAGATCTGAGGATCACTGTTCTAAGCCAGTCCAGGCAAAACAGTCCCTGTGAGATTTTTATATCCAATTAACCACTCAAAAACTGGAAGTGAGCAAAAAGACCTCAAGGACAGCACCAAGGTCCTGAGTTCAAACCCTAGGACGGACCAAAAACAAAAAGGCCGGGTGCCGGTGGCTCATACCTGTAATCCTAGCTACTCAGGAGGCTGAGATCTGAGGATCATGGTTCAAAGCCAGCCCGGGCAGAAAAGTCCATGAGACTCTTATCTCCAATAAACCACCAGAAAACTGGAAGTGGCATTATGGCTCAAGTGGTAGAGTACTTGCCTTGAGCTGAAGAGCACAGGGACAGTGCCCAAGCCCCGAGTTCAAGCCCCACGACCGACCCAAAAAAAAGCACCTTGCAGGTTTTTAATATTTTTTTTGACAGTCCTACTGAGGAACTGAACCCTGGACTTCATGCATGCTAGGCAAGCACTCTACCACTAAGCCCCGCCCCTTGCACAGTTTTAAAGGACTTCAATAGA